TTTATGCCCCTGAGATTAGGGTCAGTGTTATGATGTGAAAGGAAACAGATTGTGTTTCTTTGCTTTAACAATTATATATTTATTTAATAAGTTCAGTGGATTTAAAAGTACAGTAATGTTTTCACCTTCATAAAATACAAAACCTTTGTCTCTTTAAATCTTATATTTCTATAAAATGATATGGGTAAAGGAAAGTAATGGGGATATGAAATGAATTATACAAAATGGGATAGAATGATTTCATCCTGCTGTCTGTCATAAGTTTATGGAGAATTATTTGTGCTGTAAAGGTAAAAAACAACAATGCTGACGCTCACTCTCAAGCTTCATGTAAGTTAGGGTGCTTTTTAAACTTGTATAATGCAGCATTGTGGTTGAGCATCATTGTTTGTTGTGCGTTTGTTTTCTGTGAGTTTGACACCATAACAATTCCTGACTTTCCATGTGCTCAAGGCCCTCGTGACACAATGGAGGAAAAATTTCTCCGACTCTGTGACCTTGTACCGAAGTGTGTAACTCCCTATTGTTGCTTCATTGGAGGTCCAGTTTCCCTTCCTACTCCCTCAATTAACAAATCTGAGACACAGGTCACGTCTTGAAAAAATATATATTTAAATTGCAATTTTACAGAAACAGAAAAATAATGAAATAATTCTATATTCAAAACTTAATACCAGAAACATGATGCAGATCTTCACCAGCCAGACTGTATACCTCAGTTAAACATGAACATTTATGATTAATTTTAAGGGGCAAAAAAGCCTCTGTTGCATCTTTCTTTCTCCCAGCTCATGTGAGCCTAAAAGGCATGAGTGAAGTATGTATGAGACCCTTTTGAATATAAACCATGGCCTTCTGCATTTCGTGTCTTAAACCTTAGCTAGCACTTGGGAGGATCATGTTCAGACTAAGATGATTACTTCCTTTTGTTCTGTCCCTTCATTAGCAAAACGAAACCATGTTACTTTTCAAATACCTGTTTTGGGTGGTTCCATTGTTTTTGTAACCATGTTGGTCCCAAGATATTAACGAGATGAGATGGGTGAGGTAATATCTTTTACTTGATCGTCTTAAGATCTATTTTGGATGGTTCGTGTTTCTAAATATCCATGGGGGCTAATCAGTGTTGCGTGGGAATATCCATTTCAGTCCTCAATATCCATCCCAAGCCAGTGCCCCATTTCTTTCTCCTCCCCATGACTTGCATACATAGTTATTGTTCTTTGGTACAGCTAATGATTCTATAAACATCTTTTAAGTACTTCATTATCATGCAAATGGAAGTAGGCCATTTGCAGACAGCCTAGCTCTGGATAGATAAAGTATATCTGTAAGGAGCATACATCAATTATTTAAATCCTCAGTATTTATACAATAAGTAAAATTAATATTGGGCAGGCCAGACACCATATATCATAAACTTAGATAACTCTGTACTTAATATGTCTAGCATATTTTGCTGAGCGTTCTACATATGTTGCTGTCCTTACAGTTGGTAAGTAGAGAGATACATTCTGTTTAAACATTGATAACATTGGAAGGGCTCATTTAGTGGTCGAAGCATCAGGTTTGAAATAATTAGGTTTAGGTTCTGTGCTGTGTCAAAGAGAGCACAGAAAAGCTAAGGTGGAAGTAGTATACCAAAGATGGTATAAAGCTCATTTTTGCAGTCTCATTTCCGGGCAGCATGTGTGCCAGTCCTGTCCCCTTGTGTAAATTAGAACAACCCAAAAGCTGCTTAAAGTTATACTGGATACCAGCAGCATTAGGCAGCCATTATGGGAGCTGGGAGTCAGCCACGTGGAAGAGAGCACCTGCTACGTTCCCTATGTTGACATGATCCTCCCATGGCTGGCTATTGATAAGTTTAGGGATGTTTTGAATTGGCAGTACGACTCAAAGCAGCCACATCACAGCATAGCATCTGGGCCTTAGGCTCTTTGTAGCTATAAGTTCTATTAGCTGAATGCAAATTAAGCATCTAAAATGAAGATAAAAATTATACACAATGGAAGTGAGATGTTATGTGCTTCAGTAAGAAAACACTACCGTTTGGTATGTCAGTTCTCACTAATTTATCAATTATTGCATAATATTGCTTTCACAATAGCATGCTTGAAATACTTTCAATAAATTCTAGTTTTAAGAAAATAATTACTTATTTCTAAACTCTCTGCAGAAGTAATTATGTAATAACAAATTACATGAGTTGACACATTCTTTACCTATAGCAAGTGTAGTCAGTGAAAATACTCCTTGAATTTTTAGCATGTTCATAGTTTTGGTGTATTTTAAAAAATGTAAATAGCCCATGGAGATTTGTAGGCGAGGTTATCTTTTGATTTCTACTAATTAATTATGATATATTTTACCTCTATGTGATTTGTCATTACGGGTCCTGAAAACTCAAACATACTATGGGAAAAATTACTTGTTTAATCTGGCTGGGACCTTGTGGCATTTAATTGTAAGCATAAGTGTGACAGAATAAATCCAAATGAATTCGGACAGTGATTAACAAGGCGCTCCTTGATATGGTAATGAGATTAAAAAACTGGTGCCTAAGTGTTTCTAAGGATTTAATTAACATTTGTGCAACTAAACAATTTTAGTGCCTAAATGTTTGCTTGTTGTTACCATGGTTCTACTGCATTGACAGTATATAACCTATGACCATACGTACAATACAGCATGACCATATATAGTATACAGAGTGAACATATATAGAGAGAGATCTTTATGGAAGATTTATGCTTCTTTGGTTAAGAAATAAATTACTACAAGATTATACAGTAATGCGCACTAAGAATTTATTTGTATTGTTTGCTGCTTTTCAAGAACTCAGAAGTGTGTGAGGTAACCACTAACAAATGTTAACACAGTCCTTCAAACAGGTGTTTAACTTTACTACCATGAAAACAACAAGGAGTCCAGTGGCACCTTAAAGACTAACAGATTTATTTGGACATAAGCTTTCGTGGGTAAAAAACCCACTTTTTCAGATGCATGGAGTGAAAATTACAGATGCAGGCATTGTTATACTGACACATGAAGAGAAGGGAGTTACCTCACAAGTGGAGAACCAGTGTTGACAGGGCCAATACAATCAGGGTGGATGTAGTTCACTCCCAAAAATTGATGAGGAGGTGTCAATTCCAGGAGAAGAAAAATTGCTTCTGTAATGAGCCAGCCACTCCCAGTCCCTATTCAAGCCCAAATTAATGGTGTTAAATTTGCAAATGAATTTTAGTTCTGCAGTTTCTCTTTGAAATCTGTTTCTGACATTTTTTGTTCAAATATGGCTACTTTTAAATCTGTTACAGAATGTCCAGGAAGATTGTAGGTGTTTCTCCTCATGTGTCATTATAACAATGCCTGCATCTGTAATTTTCACTCCATGCATCTGAAGAAGTGGGTTTTTTACCCACGAAAGCTTATGCCTAAATAAATCTGTTAGTCTTTAAGGTGCCACCGGATTCCTTGTTGTTTTTGTGGATACAGACTAACACAGCTACCCCCTGATACTTTACTACCATGGGTAGTCTCGTTGGTTTTGTGTGTAAGTATTTGCAGCATTGGGGCCTAAATTTGACATAGCACAGCAAATGAAGGTAATAAAATGATAGTGGGGAGAAGGAGAAAGAAATCACAGCGGTGGTGCAGTTTCTCAATAAGGTATACACACACAGTTTGATGATCCTTTTTAATTGTGTGGTGGTGATGGTGATGGTGATTATTACCTTCCCTCCATCCTGACATTTCAATACAACAGAGGTGAGGGATTTAAAGAACATAATTTTAAAGAAAACTGTCCTGTCATTGTTGTGCATCATGCTGTTTGCTGGCTAACTGCTGACCTCCCAATTCAGAGATGGATTCATTTCCATGCTTTATTTAGATAGATGTAAAAGTCTTTTGGAAAACTTTGAGATGAAAGGCTCTAAATAAATGTAAGATACTAAGTCACACAGAAAGTCACTTTGCTGAGAGCAGAGTGCTACACGAGGGAATGTAATAACTATTATTCTTAGGTCATGTCTTAGCTAAATAAAACACCTTTAGTTTGCCTGTGTCCGCTGGTTTGGGTTTGGGGCTATAAAATTGTAGTGTAGATGTCCAGGTTCAAGCTGGAGCCTGGGTTCTGGGATGTGCGCATACACACACACACGGTCTGTGTGTGTGTGTGTATGTATGTATTACACTAATATATGTATATATATTAATATATGTAATGTGATCTAGGTACAGATTTTGTTTTGGACCGCCCACTGGCCTCCTTTTGATTTCAGTGGGAGATTCAGGTGTAGGAATGATGATGGGTTTTGGCCCGTAGGCAAAGTCTTGTGTGCTTCCTGAGAAGCATTACATTCTGTGGCAAGGTTCCCTTCGTTTATGTGGTGGTCTAGTGCAGCAAATTCAGTTAAGCAAGTTAATAAAAGTAGGCTTTTACTGAACTAAATATGAAAATTAATTATTCCTTCAGGCCAGAAACTCCTCTGCATTGTTCATTTGGAGGCTAAATCTTACTCCATCAGTTTCAGTTTCCAATTTGCCACAAAACTGCCTCTCTGAATTTTCTTAAGTACAGATGGAGAGTTTGGCCTGTGCACTATGTAGGAGGCATCTGGGGCTGTAATACCCAAACTGGTGGTATTCAGATGGTGGGATGAGCGCATTAGCTGGATGATATACTGGCACTATCAGCAGCAGGGCCGGCTCTAAGCATCAGCAAGCTGGGGCGGCAGAATTCCAGGGGTGGCATTCTGGGTGGTTGGGACGGCACAATTCCAGGGGCATTCCGGGTTGTTTTTTGTTTTGTTTTGCTTCGGTAGTTGCGCTCTCAGAGGTGGTTGTTTTTTTTTTTGCTTGGGGCGGCAAAAAACCTAGAGCCGGCCCTGAGCAGCAGTGAAGTGGTTAACAGTAATGGTATTTAAATGATCCACCTTTAGGTTTCAGACTGAACAACTCATTGAGTTGACATGAGAAGTTCACAAACATTACTTCAGGCTGTTTGCAGGCCCAGGAACATAAGTAATACTCCTCCAGCTTGCATTTTTGATTCATGTTTGTCAATATTTTTTTCACATCCATGAGGGCTAGAAACACAATTTAAAAAATAAATGCTTAGATTTTGGAGCACTATTCTGCACCAAGCGGTGGATTCCCCATCAAATTCTGCTACTATGGAATCATGGAATGCAGAGCCTTGCTCATAGGTATGTAACTCCAATTAGAATAAATGTTTTTCTATTGGGAGTCATAAGAAAAAAGGGTTATGAGTTACGTAGACCTCAGGGTTTCTTAATAGCTTGTGGGAATTGTCTACTGCCAATTTTAGAGCATCTGCCTATCTGTCTTAACCACATGTAGACTTACTGGCAGATCTACTCAGATCAGTGGTGTAATTATTTACTTCATAAAGAGAAAACAGGTTTGCATTATAATGACCTTACAGTAACTTTCAGTTTTATGTGGAGAAAAATAAGCACTTGTCATTTCCTTGTTATTCTGAGGTTGAAGCCTTTACCACAAAGATTTTAATATTTGCTATGTTCTCTGAACTCTCACCATTTAAAAATAATTATTTTCTTTAGGCAGAACTTTCTGCTGCACCAAGTCTGACCAGTTAATGTTAGAGACATTTCTTACAGAACACCTCCTCTTTTCTATTCACATCTTCTTGGTATTACATAACACTAATGTTAAATGCATAGGAAGTGTTTACTGTCGTAAGTATTTTTAGAGTCAGCCTAGTAAGGTTACATTTTCTGATAGATATTCCAATATCTTTCGCTTTTATTATATTCCTACTATTATGCTGTCCTTAGAAGTCAAGTATTTTTAGCATTATAAAAAGTTAATGTAATGATGCCTAAAAAAATGATAGCCTTACATTATACTCCTGTATGGAGACCTGGATGCAGGTATTGGTCTAACATAGTCCACCAGGGTTCTAGTTATTGGTTTTGTTTTGTTAAAAAAGGTTGGGTTTTTGTTTTGTTTTTTGTGGTCCAAAGGTCCCTCGTGGTGTGGTAGGGAAACTGGGTTTTTTTAATAAATGAAACAATACTTATTTTATGTTCTTGGCTAATGTATCTGGTATGGATAACAAATATCCAATTGCTTTTTTACATGCTGCTTAATCCTAATAGTGACTGTGGGGTCCTGAGTGCAGTCAAAGGGCATTAAAAAGAGATTAAGCATTAACTTGGCCATTGCAAGAAGAGGAAGTAATTCTAGCACAATAGCTCAGAACTAATGGCCTAGTGAAGCAGGCTTTAGAAATGATTAACTTTTGAAGTATATTTGTAAAGCATGAATTACATCAGTTCAATTTCTAATTTTATTTTAACTGACCACCCCAGAGCTGGACACCAGTTGGAATTTCTGTCCTTGGGAAACTCAGATTTTTTTTTCTTTTTGTCCCAAATCAGGATGAAAAGTCAAAATATCAAAATGTTTCATGGAACGGAAAGCTCTAAAAAGTTTTGATTTGGAAATATCCTAATAGTTATTATGGGCTCCTGCATGCAGTCAAAGGGAAAAAAAGATTTCATTTCAACATTTCCAATTGAAATAAAATATTTCGTTGTTCCCTGAAGCAAAATATTTCATTTGATTTGGTGCAATATTAATTTGTATCCTCTTGAGTTGCTGCAGTTCTCCTTGGAAGTTGTAGACTTATGCCCCCATCCTTCTCAGTGGGCTGGGTTCCCTGATGTAATAAATCTCCCATGGTGCACCATGGTCATGTAACTCCCATGAATCTTCCCCATTGGTTAAACTAGATGGGAGATTGTGGTGCATCATGTGAGATGTAGTTCAGCCAGGAAGCCTGCTCCATAGAGAAGAATGAAAATAGGGGCTTGAGGTAACCAAGTCATTGTGGCAGCTCAGGCAAACATAGATTAATGTCAGGCTGACAAAATAAAACACTTTTTATTTGGTTTGGCAAACTGAAATGTTTCAATTTGGATTGACATGGCTTGAAACAAAATATTGTGTTTCGGTTTTCCCAATAGAAAATCAAAAGATTTTGGCAAAATTTTGCAGAAGCCTCATTTTCCATTGAAAAGCCATTTCAATAGAACATTCCCAACCATCCCTACCTACCACTTATTTTTAAATACAGTATTTTTAATCACACGTTTTAGATATTTAAACCGTCTTTTAAACAAGTGTTTGGTGAGAACCATATATTTGGTTTTTAAATTGATCTCTCCAGGTCTGTGTAATATAGAAATATAACTTTTTATTGGACCTTTCATCCATTATCTAAAAGCAATTTGCAAACATAGATCCCAGTCCTAAATGGTGATGTGTGCAGGCAGACTGCTGTGTCATTGTAAAACCCCACTGACCGGCTCCATGCTAAGGTAGTAGTTTGGCCAGGCAGATCATAATGCAGGACCAAGAGTAGTAGTATACTAATTTTACAAGTGGGGAAACAGGGGCACTGATGTGGTTAACAATTGCCCAATGCCACACAACAAGTTTTTGCAGAGTGTCAGAAATTGAACTGATCCATTGCCCAGTTACCTGGTCTAATCCTTTGACATATTTATTTTGTTTCCAAACAGAAATAAAGTTATACATATGTACTTTAATGACCAGTGTCATGCATGCACATCATGGTTTTACTTGCAAAAGCACTGTTGTAAATGGTGCAGCCTTTTAACAGTGTACAGAATTCTGAAAAAGCGACTGGTGCTGGCTAAATTTGCATATATAGAATTTTTTTTCTCCTTAACGGTGATGCCAAGATCTTTTTTGTTCCAAAAGTTTTTTTTAATCAGCAAGCCGAGTTAATATTTCTGAAATCCATAAGGAGAAAATCCATAATAATTACACAATCTGAATTTAAGAGCTTTCCAAATCATCTATAAAAACAGTAGAAGTCCAATGCATATGCAATCATTAATACATTTACTTAACTGTATGATCTCTTTTTGGTCTACATAATCATTATATTACTGTTTAATAAAATGACGAGTGCTGACTAACCTGTTAATAGAATTTGTTTTTTTCAGCCCTCTTAGTTTTTTAATGATCAAATAGGTGTTTTAATATTTGAAAGTCGCTGTCCTGCCAGGGTCTCTAGATAAATAATTCTCATTCAAGAGGATAGCTTTCTGTTTGGCCATTGTGTTCTAATCCTAAAAACAGTGAGCAATACTATGCCTGATCTGAGAAGTGGTACATTCTCATTATGGTGTTCCAGGGTTTTAGTTACATAACCTGGAACTCCTGCAGCTACAGCCATGAACGCCACTTCGTACATTTAGGCATTTCAGTATTTTAGGTTAAGAAGTGCATGAAACTCAGTAAGGCTGGGTGTCACTCTGTCTGGAGTGGCTCATGACTAAGGTGATGATTTAGTGACGGAGGTCGCGGAAGTCATGGAATCTGTGACTTTCAGCAACCTCTGTGACTTCAGCGGTGGGGAGCTGCAGGGTTGCCCACTGAGCCAGGAGTTGTGGGGTATCCCCGTCACCTCTGGCTGCCCCTGCAGCTCCCAGCCACCATGAGAGGCAGGGTACCCCGCAGCTCCCAGTGGTGGGGGAGCCTCCGAGCTCCCGGCCACCGCAGGCAGTAGGGGAACCCCCGAGCTCATGGGCAGTGGAGGAACTTCCTGCTCCTGGCCAGCGTCAGGCCCCCGGAGCAGCAAGCTGCAGGTGGTGGGGGTACCCTGCAGCTCCCAGCCCCCACAGGCAGCGGGAGACTCCTGGAGATGCGGGCAGCAGGGGTACCCCGCAGCCCCCAGCTGCTGCAAGTGGCTTCTAGCCCCTGCACAGCTGCCCACCTTCAGGCGGTGTGGGGACCCGCAGATCCCCATTTTGTCCCAGGATGTATTTACTTTTTAGTGAATGTCAGGGACAGGTCATGGCTTCCGTGAATTTTTCTGTTTTGCCTGTGACCTGTCCCTGACTTTTACTAAAAATATCTGTGACAAAATCTTAGCCTTACTCATGACCGAGAGTGCCAACTTCAGGGCAGACTGTCAAAAACAGGGCAGGCAACCCCAAACTGTTGGTATATTCTATAATTAGATTATAGAGATGAAAAATCTTCATGTCACCTATTTTTATTTTCCTCTTCCGGCATTCAAACTGATGGAATGAGGCCTTCTACATGTACTTCATAGGTGAATGGGGCAATTAACAAAGCTTTTGTCTGATGATGGCCCAGTTAATTTTTGGTAGCCTTTCTGGATAGGTGGGGGTGGGGACAATTCTTGTGCCTGGGTTCACATGTTCAGAGCAAACATTTTCAAAGTTATAGAGCAAAAGGTACATATTTCCTTTATAGCCTGGAATACAGATATGACAAGTGAGATTAATGCATGCAGCAACTCAGAAGCATTTCATAGAGTCTAAACATTAAGTGCATTCTTATAAGAATAATACCTATTTTGAACAAAACTAACAGACAGGTGAGCTGGTTTGGTTTCCAGCTATGAGTTTGTTGGTTCTTAGCTATGGCCTTGGCCAGAGCTGGCACTTGGTTTATCAGCATCACACTGGAGTGATAAGGGAAGTTGATGTTTTGTGGTTTTTGGTTATAGGAAATACAGGTCATCTTGGGTGAAGGAGCTAGGATTTTTTGTGCAGTATTTAATACTAATAAGTGAACATTTCTCTTGGAATGGTGATGTGATGTCGTTATGCTATTTCATTGTAGGCATAGGGGGAAAGTAAATGTTTACTTTTTAGTGTTAACCACTGTAACTTGAAATAAAATACTGTTTTTAAAGTTGAGAGCCCTCAAAATGGTAGCCCTCTTTCTATTAATAGAACTAGTGCAGCAATGACAGTAGCAGTTCAGGCTTCCCTTACAGTCCCATCATTCTGGAAGCACAGCCAGTAGGGTGGAGTGGGTAGTTCATTTATGTCCTTGACCTTTCTGCTTTGACTACGAGTGTAGTTACTAGTTGGTACCAATTATGGTGGCGATTTTTCTGATGAGGAACACCCGTCCAATGGACACTGGACCTCAGCCCATAAAGACTCCTCACTTGTTAATGACTTATCGTCATTTACTGACTTGTGCTTCATTTACAGTTTTGGTCTATAGGTTAAGGGCTTTGAATCCCATTAGATGTTCTCTAGGTTCCCATACAGCTTGGATTATGACAAATGACTGTGTAGAGTGTATCTTCAACCAAATAGAATTTGATACATTTTAGACTTACCCTGTATGTAAAATGAGGATAGAC